TGTGTGTCCCCGATGCCCGTGTGTGCGTGCCCGGGGGAGGGTGTCCCCATGTCCTTGGCCATCTGGATCCTGGGGCTGTCCTCCAGGCGTGCAGGTGTGCCTGTGGGAAGGGGGTGTCTTTGCGTGGGTGGGGACAATGCCCCCAGGCGTGTTTGCGCCTCCAGGTGCCCCACAGTCTGTCTTTATTTTGGTATACAGGCGTCTCGGCCATTGACTAATGCTCACCTATGATCTGCCAAGCCGGGCAGTGTTTGCAGCGCTGGGTCGTGGTGCTTCCTCGCAGAGATGCCGAAGCAAGGAGTCACCATATGCCCCTTGGAAGGCCGAAGGGCAAGGCTCAGAGGCATCGGAAACCAGTTCTTATTTCTGCGCTTCGAAGGACCTCAGGGTCCAGTATCAATGTTGAGCTGCAATCTAGCAGCGTTTCGTTTAAACCTAATGGCTGTGTTACGTGCAGTGTTGGAGCGGGATTGCGCGTGAGCCGGTTGCTCCAGGAGCAGGGTGCCGCAATCGATGATGAGTACAACTGTGGTAACTCCGGTCATCACTCAGGCTGTCCTTGGTTGCATTTCTTGTTATAACTGGCAATACTCTTCATCACAAACAGTCCTGGAGCTGCTGTGAGGACGCTGTCGCTCGCCGTAATTAATAGCGTTGTTCTGCCGTAACACAGCATTTGTTAAATTAGATGCAAACCTCGCCAAGGCAGGCCAAAAAGCCTGCAGAAGGCAGTGTGAGCATGAGAGCTGGCTCTACCTGTTGGGCCGCGTGCCGTGTGCTAGCAGGTTCCCAGAGGGGATAGGAAAGCTCCGTTTATCAAAAGTTACCCGTCTTACAGCTCATAGTTCGGTGCTCAGTGCCATCAGCTCGCAGGTACGGGCTGAAAGTGTGGGCGGTTATCGTCCTGAGCTTCAGTGGGCTCTGCTGGTGCTTGGCTTGGTCCAGAGCTGCAAGAAGGCTTTTCTCCTGAAGCATCCATGGATGCTGTTCCCACTTCAAGTGGCATGCCGCGTCCGGGTGAGTGGAAGGGCGGGAAGGGGAAGTGCTGGACATGGAAGCAGGCGAGGAAATGACAGAGAAAAGAGAAAGTGGGGAGAAAGAGGTTGTGGCTGGGCTGTGTGAAAGGGGTGTTCTCCATTCTCTGCTGCGCCTGAGTTCTCAGCAAAGTCCTGGGAGCAACTGTCTGAAGTATCGGTGTCCCTGTCTCTAGACAGTCTTTTAATTGGAGTGAGTGAAGTAGTGAGAACGGAGTCGATATTCAGGGCTTTTAAT